AGGGCAAGGACTGGAGTTTTGCATTTTCTTGTTCCCAATGTCTAAAACAGCACCTGGCAAGTCATACGAACTCAAATCACATTTGTTGAATAAATAATTAATAAATGGATCTGTGACATGATTAGCTAAGTTATAAGCCACATATAGACAAGTTTTAAAGTGGCAGTGTGACTAGTCCTCAGCAGGTAGACACCGTGGGAATGGGAGCCCTGCCCTGAACCCATATGTATCCCTTCCAGAACTGGTTTGAAACTTCATCTGGAGTGAACTAAGAATAAGGGAGAGGCTTTTAATTTCTTTATGAGGCACACATGGGACAAATATATTCCAGGTGTCATATTAAAGAGGAACTGAGGGGTTGGAGTTGTGGCTCAGTGGTAGAGCACTCGCCTAGCATGTGCGAGGCTCTGGGTTTGATCCTCAGCACCACATAAAAATAAATAAATTAAATAAAGGTTAAGAAAAGAGGAACTGAGCCCTTTAATAACTTGCAGTTTCTACATATGATTTGAGGTTCTCATATGCCTTGCACTAATCATGTTTTGTCTCCCCTCAGTCCTCTACTTCAGTTGATATGATGTATCACGTAAGAAAACAGCTGTGAAGGCTTCTCCAGGTAGAGTTGCCCAATTCAACAAATAAAAATATAGGATGCGTGGTTAAATTAAAATTTCAGCTAAAGAAAACAGAAATATCTACTCAAAACCAAATCATTTTTGTATAACTATATCCTATGAAACATTTTCGATGTAATAAAAGATCTCTCATTATTTATCTGAAATTCCAATCTAATTAGACATCATGATTTTGTCCTGCAACCCAAATCCAGTTTGCTTTCTGCCAAGAATTAGGAAAGCATGGTGTACCCTACACGTTTGATATAACAAATTGCACTGAAACATAGGTAAATGAAGTGAATGAGACCTTCATTCAGAGGCCAATAGGAAATTCAGAGGCCAATGAGAAAAATAACTGATATAGATGAATCTGTGGACAAACAGGCTGATAGCTGCAGTGCTCCTTGCTTGACCCAGGTTTTTGTTAGTATCTACCACTCTACATGTACCAGGGCAACAGAGTGTAATAGTTATGAGCAGGAACTCTGGAGTCCCATGTTCTTACCTCTGATTCCTTGCTCTGGCTCATGAATCCAGGCTTGAATTTTATTACATAAAATGAGGGTGATGTTGGCAGCCTCCTATCAGTTTTATTAATATGTTGTATGCAGTTGACACCTGACCAGCGTAGGCAGCTCATTATTAATTTAGCTAATTAATGCTGTTTGCATGGTTAAGTGTCATTACCCTCTCTGGAACAGCTCAAAGTAGAATACAATGAAATAGAATAGAATAACAAGACTATTATTCATTTTTCCCTTAATATGTGCCAGATTCTCTGCTAACTGCTTTCACAGATTTCCTCATTCGATCCATATAACAACCCCAAGAGATATCATTATTCATTATTCCTACTTTATAGACATTGGATCCAAGGTTCAGAGAAACTAGGCAATCTTAAGCCAAAGCATCACCACAGTTTGGCAGTGGAAAATCTGAAAGTCAAATGCAATTCTGTCTGAACCGAAACCCATGTTCTTAACATTCATTAAAATCTCCCCATGAGATTGCTACCCAAACACAATTCTTTCTTAGCCTAAGAAAAAAATCTGATGATTTTCAATTAAGCATGAAAATATCCTTGGGAATTAAAGGATACCTTATTCTTTTCATTTGCATACCTTCTTTAAAAAAGTTACAGTAGTGTTTTGAAGGAAGATTCCCAGGTTTCTTTGCCTAGCTTGGGTTAAATCTTCTCTTTTTAATTTTTTTTTTTTTTGTAATTGTAGATGGACAACATACCTTTATTTTATTTATTTATATGTGGTGCTAAAGATTGAACTCAGTGCCTCACAAGAGCTAGGCAAGTGCTCTGCCACTGAGCTAGAGCCCCAGCCCAGGTAAAACTCTCTTTCATAACCTCTTTCTCCTCTACCTAAAGTCAAATCCATTTGTTTATGCTCCTTAACTGTTATTAATATGGCCCAGATGAAAGGTTCTTTACAGCTTATCAAACATATGTTTGATATATGTTATCACATATATCCTTAAAATAGTACAAATAAATAGGCAGGAAATTGCATTATGTCTCAAGTTTACAGATGAAGAAACTGATGCTCAGAGTGGTATGTCACTTGGCAGTCACACACATGCTAACCAGCAGAGCAATGATGGAAGTCTAGGCTTCTTTCCTCAAAATATTCTTTAATTATTTTTTTCAATACAGGATTGTTGGATAGCTTCTATGTACAAGGCACTATGTTAGAAATCAAACCTCTCTCAGTGAACAAAATAGGCCAGAACTTTTCGCTACTGGATTTTAACATCTCTTGGAGAGGGACCCATTAAATCATCAAATAAAAATATTTAAGGTCTAAGAAGAAATGATCTAGTTTGTAAACGATGTTAATCCAAACATTTTATCCTTGTTATAAGGATATAAGTCACAAGAAATTTTCACCAAAAATATATGGTGAAACCTGAAGCTGAGAGGAACAAGCCAGGAGAAGAAACTAGAAATGAACATACAAGCAGAGAAGGGAGGATGGATCCTGGGCGGCACTACAGGGCCATGGGAGGAGGTCATGGTACTGGTAGGCAGGGAATCACTGACCCTGAGCCTCAGGACAGTACTATTTTCTTGATTCCAGAACACCAACAGCATTGGCCTTGAACTTTGCAGGCCCTGCCCAGGTGACCTCCCTGGGAGGCCAGCAGAATCCTATCCTACGTTGCAATATCTGGAGCTTTTGCTTCCTTGTACTGTGCTCTTGTGGTTTATTAGAGAAATGCCTTCAGGCACTACCCTTTCCCAAACAAACAGCCACAGTCAGAATTCACAACATGGGCACTTGAACTTCATTCCTCCACTAGTCCACTGGACAAGTGCAGTGCTCGATCATAAAGAGTGTACCTGACGGCACAAATATAACTTTCTGGAAGTTTCCTAAGGTGGTACTATTTCTAGATCACAGGCTTTTGTATAGGAGAGTCTGGCCAGAGTCTTCTTGAGGGGCCTGGTTGGAGAAGCCTAGGAAGGTCGTTCCACTCAAGGTGCAAGCAGAGCTGCTGATTGCTGTCAAGGCAGTACCTTATAAAGTGGGTGGGAATGGGTCTCTCCCTAACCCTGACTCTGAAACCTGGACAAATCTCAGTTTCCCATACCCCAGTTAATATCCCCATTTCTAAATGGCCATCTGGCACTGCACAGCTTGATTTTGGTCAGTCTGTAAGTTTTAATATCTCCAACTCCTTGTCCTTACCAACTGAACTTAAGGCATTCCTCAGGATACCCAGTTTTATCTAGACCAAAGCCACACTTTACCTTCTGGAGTGTTTACATCCAGAAAGAAGGGCATTTTACCTCTGGGAGACATAGCAGCATCTCAAACCTAATATTGAGTTCCACCAAATGCCAATGAATTTAATTCAGTTGACTATGTTTTCTTTTCGTTCCTATTTGAAAGATCGTAAGGCAGACTTAATTTAAAGAGGACCATTGTAATAGATACAGGGACCACTTCAGTGGGAACCTGCAGTGCAAAAGAAAGATTGAACTCAATTCTCAATCTACTTTTTTTAAAAATGTTCACACAAGAAGTCTACAGCCTACAGGGGGAGACATTTAAATGGATATATATCCTGCATGTCACAGTATCATTTATCTCTGCTTGGAAGATCCAGAGAAGCTGTGAGCAAGTACAGTCAAAGCTAAAACCAGTGCTAATCACTAGACTCCTTGAGGATTCAGAAATATAACACTTTGCCCCTAAGAGATCCACAGGTTAAGAAGCAACCTAAATTCCATTACAGAGGAATGGATGAAGACCATATTTTTTTATGGTCTATATATATGAGGGAATACTATTTTGCTTTAAAAAGAAAGGCAAGCTTGTCATTTATAACAGCATGGGTGAAGTTGGAGAATATTATGTTAAGTGAAATAAGGCAGAGTTAGAAAATCAAATATCATCTTACTTCTTTATGAAATCTAAAAAAGGTAAAACCATAAAAGCAGAGAGTAGAATGACAGTTACCAGAGGCTGGGAAGGGAAATTAGAAAGACATGTGTCAAAGCATATAAAATACCCATTAGGAGGAATAAATTCTAGAGATCCATTATATAATATGGTGAATATATTTAATAACAATGATTTGTATATATGAAAATGGCTGAGAGTAGTGTTCTCACCATACATAAAAGGAAAGTGTGTGAGATAATGAATATTTTTGATTTAGCCATTAACCATTATACATACTCTAAAATATCATAATATGTGCCTTAAACATATATCTATATATTTATTTTATTGATAACTTGTATTTGTAGGTAGATAAGGGAATGGATCAAGAGGCTGAATGAGAGGAGAGCTAATAAAACAGTTCAAAGAATGGGTCCAGGGTTTCAAAGAGCAGGTGATGGAGAATGCAGCTTTTTCTGATCTAGGGCGGAATGGTTACCATGAAGGTTTCATAGAAAAGACAGAATCTGAACCTAAGACAGCGGAATAAATAGAAAAGCTCCAAGGGAGATGATGAGGAAGGTATCACAGGAAGAAGAGCAGAGGCAAAGGAAGGGTTCTGGGGTGCTGCAGGGCATGCCCATGTATGGAAAGGGGATTGGGTCAGAGCATGGGGAGAGCCCAGCACACAGAGGGTGTAGAAAAAGACCTTGCCAATCTTGTCACTTGCTCCTCAACACTAGTGATTCTGCCTGATATGCATCTGAGCATCCATGCTGGCCATGGAAACTCCCTCAGAAGCTGTACTCTCGTGCACTTTATAGATACACCTGAGAAAAATCAAGAGAGTTTTTCTTTCCCTATTTGAAAAAATATATATATTAATTGGTTTTGAAAGATAGGGCAGGGCTCATTAGCAGAGATCCCAGAGCAAGCTGTGCGGACATCTTGAGCAACCTAGATTCCAGAGTAGATATGTCACTTATGTGCCCTATAAATGAAGCAAAGCTTCAGGTGCATCTGAGCAATTTATCTGCATCAATCCCCAGTATTACAAGAATGGCTGTCTCAGTCCTTCGGCTGACAATTTTTCTGGGAATCCTTGTCTTAATCCTGACCTGCCACGCTGCAGGTAAGTGTTTCTGTTCACAGCCCATGAACTGTGCAGCAGTTAGAAGGATGAGCGGAAGTTGGCACTGATTCAGAATATAGATAGGGAGGGCTTTGGGCACTTGAGAACACAGGTCTGGGAGACAAGAGGCACATTTTCTAACAAATAAAGGATTTTTATTAAAGTCAGTGTCAACTAAAGCCTCTATCTTCAATGAATATATGAAATTTGGAATGATATTTTCTTGTGTGTCATATCATATAGTGACACTATTGTATTATAAGTTCCTTGAGACCTGGGGTATGTTTTCCTAATGATAATAACAAATAATTTTTGATGGTGAAGAATATACACTCTGGAATAAGACTTCTCAGCTGGGTCCACCACTAACCTGACTTTAACATGCTACTTAATATCTCTTGGCATCATACATGCCAGGAAACATTGATAGTTAATTTTCCCATAAAGTTATTATGAAAATTAAATACAGGAAAAAATTGGAATAGTATTTGTTCATAACAAGTACTCAATAAATATTAACTGTTATTGTTATCAAATATAATCTTAAAAGAGCCTCATAATATGTCTGTGAAGTAAATATGCATGGTTTTATCATTTTCCATCTTACAGGATAATAAACTGAGTTTGCAGAGGGAAAATTACTTGAGCATAGACACAAGTGTAAGTGGTATCTGATAATGACACCTGGGTGTCTAGATTCTTTTCATTATAACTAAATAGCACCTACTTCTTTCATATCTGACCCAAACAAGGCATTATGCAGCATTCTCAATAGCTAATTATTTTGTTTGCAGAAGACTGTGAGTTCCTGACTTCACTCAATTCAAAAATGGCTAGAAAACACAGATAGTACAAATGATTAGCAATAGAGTCCTCTGAATGCAAGTCAGCAGCATTCACACCTCCAGGCCCCTCACTGTTCATCAGCATCACACACAGGCAGATGCTAGGACAGAATGACTCTAGAGGGGGACATAGAGACATTACAGTTCCTTCAACACCAAAAGTAATCAACATGGTGAAAGGTGATATTCATATCATAGTGAAAAAATCCAGGTTCTATTTCGTATGAACTCTGAAACTATGGGTAAACCAGTTCATTGGTTTGAGCCTTGGTTTCCTCATCTATAAAATGAGACAATTATCAATTTTACCAGATAGAATGGGCATGCTGTGTGTATGTGTGTGTGTGTGTGTGTGTGTGTGTGTGTGTGTGTGTGTGTGTTATTGGGGATTGAACTGAGCCCAGGGGTGTTCTGTCTCAGAGGTACATCCCCAGCCCAATAGCTCTCTTCTCCTTAAGTTGTCCACACTGGTTTAAATTCATGATCTTCTTGCCTCAACTTCCTGAGTGGCTGGATTTCCTGGCACATGCCAACATGCCCAGCCAAATGAACATGCTTTTATAATCACTTCGCAGGTAAATGGATGGCGTTGGAGAAGATAATGCTAAGTGAAGTTAGCCAATCCCAAAAAAACAAATGCTGAATGTTTTCTCTGATATAAGGGGGCTGACTCATAGTAGGGTAGGGAGGGGGAACATGGGAGTATTAGATTAATTTTAGATAGGGAGGAGGGGTGGGAGGGAGAGGGAGGGGGCAAGGGATTAGCAAGGATGGTGGAATGTGATAGACATCATCATCCAAAGTAAATGTATGAAGACATGAATTGGTGTCAACATACTTTATATGCAACCAGAGATATAAAAAACTGTGCTGTATATGTGTAATAAGAATTGTAATGCATCCCGCTGTCCTTTTTTTTAAATGTCAATAAAAAATTACAAATGTAAAGAAAAAAGAAAACCATACAAAATATACAAACATCAGCAATACTATATTTGTTCAGGTCTTTATAATCACCTTGACTAAGAAATTCAACCAGGTAGTTAATGTAAATTAACTATTTTGTATGATTTGATGATTCATTTCTAGGAAATAACAATCTGTTGATATTTTGATGACATATTTTAAATTTTCACAATCTCCTCAAGTATTAGAGGAGAAAATGAGTTACAAATCATGTTGTTACATTATTAATAATAGAAATAATAATGCAGCAAACATTTATGTGAGGTTATCATGGACCCGGTACTGTGGTAAATGTTTCAGATGGATGAATGGACAGATAGATAGATGAAAGATCTATAAAATATTTTCAATCCTGACAATAGCACAAGAAGGAAATTGAGAGATAATATTTGAGGCTTGTGTGCAAAGCCACATGTCTAATGTTTTATTGAAGACAGGAAAAAAAAAACCTCAAGCTATAGGACTCTAACCCATGTAATGAACCACATTCTAATTTCTCAATATGTGTGTGGTTCACAGACTGAGGCTAAGATTTCCATCTTTATACACTCCAATCCCAGGTTTCTTACATATTGAAAAGCTAGTATTTAGTGAAATATTAAAATAAAAAGTCAATAAAATTAAATTATTATGCAAATAGATAGAAACATAGAAAAAACTCAACTTTCACAGAAGGAATTACTACTTTGCACCTGACAATGTTTTCAGAAAAGAAATTTCATGGAGAGAGAAATTTATCATGTGAATAATATTCTCTGTGGAGATAAAACATTCAGGTTCAAACCCCAGCTCAACCACTTTCTAGATGAGTAATTTTATTTTATTTCCCTGAGCAGCTGTGTTCTGTTCTGTCAAACTGCAATGCTATCCCTGAGCAGACTGAAGATAGAGCAAGTGAAGAAAGCCCCAACCCAGAACCTATAGAATAGGCATCCATACAAGGAGGTCTGGCTCCTTTTTCTCTTGAGGAAAACAAATAAACTCTGGGCACTGTGAGCACCCTGCACTTTATGTGAGGGTCATGTAATGTCTGTATTTGTCCTTTTTTTTTTAACCATAATTCTTGGATAAAAGCTGTGCCCATAAGGATTCTTTTGAATGAAAGAAACAACAACTGGATAAATGAGAGCATGACAATTAAGTTTATCAATTTTAGTTTGCAGAATTGAATGCAGATAAGTTTTTAATAATAGTTTATATTTTAGGATATAATATGGATGCAAGGATGGTAACAAAAAGTTAGTTACATGTCTTTCCATCTGAAGTCATGGGGATGGATACATTATCTAGAAGGTGGGGCTTTATGATTCAAAACTTGTGATTGGGTTTCCATAAAAAATGCAAGATACAGTTATATTTTAATTTTAGATAAGTGATAGATAATATTTAATACAAATATGTACTGAATATTGCATCAATCATTCTCATAATAAAAAATGGTTGTGGTTTATCAGAAATTTAAATTTAACTACACACCATATATATTTATGTGCCATGTCTGGTCACAGCACTTGTCAAGCTATAATAAAATTAAAATACAAAAGTCCTACTTTATTCTGTTCCTAGGCTCATTGTACATATTGTAGCTATTGTCACTCTTCCATCCCTTCTTGTCTGAAAGTAAAAACCACTAAGCAAAGCCCAAAGATCCCAAGGAACCTGCATAACACCAGCCCCACTCTCTGGGTCTTTGGCCCTCCCTCTAAAGGGAACTTAAGTAAAGGACTCAGGGCAAGTGGACTACCATTGCAGTCTCAACTTCTTTTAATCTTTGTGAGGTCTTCTGTGAATCCCCAATCTTTTTGGTTTTACAGCCCTGAGAGGAAAAATACACACCTCACAAGACTGACCATGGACAAAATCATGCAACACTTACAAAACCATTATATACAACAATATTTGGTGATACACAAGTGATAGAATTTGTCACTATTATTATACTACTTTCACTCTTATAAAAGAAGATTGTACAATTCATTACCGAGTGCTTTAAAATCTAGATTTTTAATGCCAGTCAAACATGGGCTTGAATTATATTTCTGCCTCTTACTAGGTCTGACTTTTAATAGGTTTCTATCCTCTCTCTAGTTCCATTTCCTTATCTTTAAATTGGGATAATAAATTTTTCCTACCTCACAGAGTTGTTGTGATGATAATATGAGAATGCATGCAGATGGTCCATCACCCACCTCTGGTACAAGGTCCGGGTCATGGAGTGCTACCCATTGATACTCCACCTTCATCATTGTTATTCCTACCATAGGCGTGGGGGATATATGGAAAGCCAGACATTCTGTGTTTCAACCTGGGCACTGCTCCTGCTAACTGCTTAACTCTAGGAAAGGCACTTAATTTCTGTGAGCCTCTGTTTTCTCATCTACAAAAGGGAGCCATTGTCTATCTCAGTATTCATGTGTGTCTGTTTATTTGCTTTTAGGAATAGATGAGATGGTGCTTGTGAAGACATCAACTAAGCAGGAATGAAAAGTTCAACAAAATTACTGAGAGAGGCACAAAGGGCTCTGAAGATCCCCTACATGGCAAAGAGACTTTCCTTTCTTGTTGCTTTGAATCACCTCTGATATTCTGTTCTGTTTTTCAGATGACAAAGCAGAAGAAAACTCTGAGAGCAAGCCAGAGGATTCAGGCAAGAATCCAGAGCCAGATTTCCCCAAATTTCTGAACCAATTGGGCACAGAGATCATTGAGAATGCATTCGAGTTCATCCTCCGTTCCATGATGGCCCGGGGAACGTAAGCATTGATACCAGCCTTGCTTGGTCCAGTTCTCTGTATATTGAGACCCCATTGCAGCCAGGTATGGTAGCACACACCTGTAATCCCAGCAGCTCTGGAGACTGAGGCAGGAGAATCACAAGTTTAAAATCAGCCTCAGCAATTTAGCAAGGCCCTCAGCAACTTAGAGAGAACCCATCTCAAAAAAATTAAAAAAAATAAAACAATAAAATAAAATAAATTTTAAAAGCTTGCATTGAAATGAATAAAAAACAAAGTTTAAGTCACAAGCCAATAAATTGTTTTCCATCGAAAAACCTTGCTCTACTTTAAGATGTATTTGGCATCTCAATGAATTGCCCTTACCCCTTTTGGGGTAAATTCATTCCCATGAAGTGATTCCACAAGATATTTGTTTTACTTTCAAGACCAGATAGAAGGAAAGAGAGCACTGAACCAGGGGACAGAAGGCCAAGGTCTGGTCCTGACTGTTGTACCAGGTGGTGGTGGACAAGCCTCTCCCTCTCTGAGTGCCTTCCTTGGTTCATCTGTAAAGTTGAGTGACCCACTAATGCTGTGAATGGGGTGAAGGCAAGGGGTGGTGGTAGGCTCATTAGTGGTGGACAATGAGAGTTCCTATGTTAATTTGCTAACTTGAGTAGCTTAAGAGAGCCAAGAGAGGCAGCTGATAACCTCTCAGAGAGCATCTGGAGAAGCTCCCCATGTGGGGTGTTTTTGTCATGCTGGATGGCCTTAGTGAACAGTCACACCTCCCACTGTCTTCCCAATGTTCTCAGCCTGCTTCCTGGTTCCTGTGCCTAGCTCCCAATACAGCTCCCTTCCACCTACATAGCTCTGATTTTACACCATTACTTCACCTCACTCTTCATTCTCCTCAAGCTAATGCCCCAATTTCAGCTATCCAAGACCAAGCACTCTCTCTTATAAACTTCCAGGTGGTTTCCATCTCCTCCTCTCAGCCTCTTGTGATTCTCTCCAGCATAGACCCCTGAACAGAGTTTGACAAACTTTGATCTATTACCCACCTGCTTCAGGATCTATCAGATAATTTATTTTTTTTTAAAAAAACTGAAGTTCCTTTATTCCATCTTGCATCTACCTGAAGGCATCTCCCTTGCTTCTTTGACGAGCTTTCCACAGGATACTGAGATGGAAGCCAGGCGCCACCAGATGCTCTAGTATGCACTGCTGTGCCTTAAAGTTCCACATAGCCTTTACATTTTTATTCATATGTTATGTATGTGCAAATCCTTGCATTTACCTGGAGAAAAGGTTAATGGCTTTTATTATATTCTCAAAGATAACCAACAGCAAATACAAACAAAGAACCACCTTGTGGGCAATTTTGTAATCTCTGATCTGCTTAAATCAATATATTTGACTGGACAGCATTTTGCATATGATCCTGCTCCAGAAATTGCTAAAACTCACAGGTATTTTTTTTCTTTTTTCTAATTAGTTATGCATGACAGTAGAATACACTTTGATACAACAAATACAGATGGAGTATAATTTCTCATTCTTCTGGTTGTATATGATGTAGAATCCCACTGGTCATATAGTTATATATGTACAGAGGATAATAATGTCTGATTCATTCTACTATCCTTCCCCCAGACACCCTCTCTTCCCTTTACTTCCTTCTACCTAATCTAAATTAAGTCTATTCTTCCCTAATACCCCCCACCCCACCATTGTGAATTATTATCCACATATCAGAGAAAATATTAGGCTTTTGTTTTTTTTTTCTTTTTTCTTTTGGTTTGGCTTATTTTACTTAGCTTGATATTCTCTAGCTCTATCAATTTACCAGAAAATTCCATAATTTCATTATTCTTTAAGGCTAATATTCCATTGTGTGTGGATTTTTAATATCCATTCATCTATTTTTAATATCCATTCATCCACAGTTTTTAATATCCATTCATCTATTGAAGGGCACTTAGGTTGGTTCCATAGTTTAGCTATTGTGAATTGAGCTGCTATAAACATTGACTCGACTGTATCACTGTAATATACTGATTTTTAAGTCCTTTGGGTATACACTGAGGGAGGGATAGTTGAGTAAAATGGTGGTTCCATTCCAAGTTTTCTGTGGAATCTCGATACTGCTTTCCATAATGGTTGCACCAAATTGCATTCCCACCAGCAACATATGAGAGTACCTTTCCCCCTACATCCTTGCCAACATTTATTGTTGTTTTTATTGTTACAAATCCTATTGTCATTGCTTTTGCAATTGTTGCCTTCCCATGGTTGTTAATGTAAACTAGAAGGAAAGTAATAAGAAAACAATGAGCATCATTCATTGCATGCAAAGTACAGATTCAACTGCAATTGAGTTAATATTATTACATTATCAAAACAGGAAGTTGAACAATGATACTTCTTTTTATTTCTTCCCTTAGATTTTTCTGGATATAAAACGGCACATTTTTCATTGTGTTTAGCCTGAAAGTTTACTGATCCATTAAGGAGTTTCTGTCCAGTCCAGGCTCAGGAAATCCACTTCATTTTCTATACTTTCTCTTTCCCTTGATATATTCTGATCAAATGGCATTCTTTCTGTTGCTGAAACTTAAAATCATGATACGTTCTCTGCCCTCTTACTCTCTTCTATCTGAAATGCTCTTTCCTTTTCATGGTAGCTGATCCTAGAGCTCATCTAAAAGTCACCACCTCAGAAAAGTATCCTGTGACCCTCCTGTTAATTCCCTCCCCTTACATTCATATTCTCTGTTAGTCTCTAACACTTTACCTCGTCATCATGCCATTAGAACTTTAGTCTCTTCAGAAATAATTGATTTATTTTTAACTGTGTAGCTAAATGAAAGTAGAAATCAGGTAGATCTTTCTAGTTCACTATGATGTCAGACATTTAATTAATAGCTATCAATTGATTAATTAGCTAATTAAGGAAAGAGATCTTAGAGATCAGACCTAAAACCCATTTACCAACTTGATTTGGAAAATATGAAGGATCTTTGCTCAAAACACAACACTAGCTCAAAACACAAATCTAGTTGATGGCGGTGAGGACCTGAGGACCTAAGACATACGCAGGACTCCCTGTGCAAGGAAGGCTACAAATATAATGGGGATGGTGGATGGGAAGATGCCATCAAATAATGTCAAATAATGTCACTATACTTAATATGTGCAAAGAAGAAACAGGAGTTGTGAATGAAACACCTAAACTGTAAAAAATCTGCACTGTAAATCCCTTTTCCTAAATGAATTTTCAGTCTTTATGATAAGTGGCATTGCTCAAGGCAATGACACCTACACATGCCTAGCAAGAAAAATATCTGTTACATATCACAGGCCATTTCCAGAAAAAGGAACCAATGTGATGAGGGAAGTCTTTATGGCAGACATGAGATATAATTAGGGCTTTGAAGGATTGAGTGAGATTTGATTCAAAACAGAGAACAAGAGGAACTGTGAAGTTCCATAAAAATGGGAATTTTGCTTTGTTTACTCCAACATATCTGATGCCCGAGTAGGGTATCAGGCACATAATAAATGTGAGCTGCATGATTTTGAGACTCAGAACAGTCCAGGTGTCTCCCTTGCTTGCCTCTGCACTACCTGGGATCTATGCAGGCTGCCTCCCAAGCATCATCCTTCTCAGCAATGTACCTAATCCTAACTCCCCTTATTCTTTGAAGAGCCTTAGATTTTTGTGAATATATCCCCTGGGGATTCCATGACATGATTTCTCATTCTCTCCCTATCTCAAGCCATTTCTTCTCACTCTTTGTTTGACTTTTGTCACACACCCTCACCTTAAATTTAAGCTCCTCGAGGCTCCAAATGGTCCTAATTTTTCACTTTGCAGCTTGCACACTGGGAATTTCCCTGTAACTAAGGAGTTTCTAATTCACAATTCTATTATATTTAGTTTTCTTCGCTCCAGACTGAAATGACCAATTTCTTGCTATAAAACTCCACCTAGTTTTTCCACCAACACCTGTAAACATAAACCTGGCTTCTCTCTCAAAGCCAGGCTCCCCTTTATCCAGGAAGTCACATTCCCACACCTTCAGACTCCAGCAACCTCCAGGTCTTGTTTCTTTCCTGCCCATCACCACCTTCATCCAAGTGCTACAGCATACTCTACCCTCGATTTTCTTCCTATGCCATTCCTTTTCTTCAACTTGATTCTGCCATGGTCTCTTTCGTGAGTTCTTTTCATCAGATTTCTGTTAGTTTTACCACTTTTTGGTCACTCTTCACTCCAATCTATCCTCTACCTACCACCAGAGCTTTTTATAAAAAATGCAAATTTGGCCACATTTCTGCCATGTTTGAAACTTTTCTTGAATTTCTGCTGCTTTCAAAAAGAAGTAATACATTAGGCTGATGGTAAAATCCTTTCCCTGATGTGTCTATTTTCAGTCACATCTCTCACCCCTGCAACCACACACCCAACAGCCCAGCAACCGATGATTTGTGTTTTCAGAGCAGATGATGTTGGTGTAAACTCCAGTGTCTTTACACATGCTATTTTTCTTCTTCCAGCAATGTGTTGCCCCCAAGCCCCAACACTATTATGTTTCCATCATTTTCTAAAGTCCAATTCAAAAACAAGGTCTCAGAAGAAGTCAGAAGACCCTACAATTACAAAACTTAGTTTTTCACATTCTAAGATCCCCAAAATGCACTGAAAGGATCTTTATGGCTGCATTTTCTCACATTATTTTAAATTACTTGCATCTGAGTGTGTCGGTTTCCTCCACTAGACTGCAAGCTCTTCACAAACCACATTTTAGTCATCTTTTACCTTCTCAGAAGCTACACAGGTACCCAGTCTTTGAGAAGTAGAGGATTTCTGGCATTAGTAATGACTCTGATGATGTACATTTTAAACTTTGCTTTGCAATCTATCAGCCATGTGATTTGAAAACATAGTTTGAACTTTTTGAGCTTCACGGATTTTTTTCACATGTAAAAAGATAAAATAAGAATTCATTCAACAAATATTTATTAATTTAGTTATGTGCCAGGCATTGTTCTAGGTGCTGGAGATAGAATTCTGAATAAATACACCAAAATACCTGCCTTTATGGATATGCCTTCCTATGTGAAATGACACCTAACTAATATGTTTGTTGGCAAGTTCAAAGAGATGATTATGCATAAATTGCTTGTTGACTACAAATTGTTATGGAAATCTTTATTCATATTTTCTTCTCTCAGAAAAATCTTGAGGAAAAAACTGTAACTCAATCATTATAAGACAGTGTAGTGATGATTCTAGCATTAAGTCTAAGTCATAACTCAGTATTGTATTTTTCTCTATTTTTCCTTTTAGTGGATTCTTTGAACTTGGTGAAAACCCAGGAGAACAGCCACCAAAGTGAACTCTCAGGTGATTTAATTTATAATTTACAACTAAAATAAGAGTATATTAGACAAAGATAAAAAGGGATTGACTAATTTCATTTAATGACTGGGGATACCCATGCATAACTACAAACAAAATAATTGTTTTGTTCTCTATTTGTCCCTATGGTTTATTTTTTAAAACTAATTATAAATGGATATGCATTAAGTTGGTGTTGATAACTCAAGGATTTCTTAGGGAGGAGGCAAACTTGTTGAATAAGATAAATAATCATTAATTGTTAAGAGACCTGGTTCCTGATACAATTCTGTCCCATAACAAACTCCTGAGATGATCAATTGACAAAGATAAAGGTTAATTTGGGCTCCCAGTTCTGGACATTTCAATTTGCCTTTGGTGGGCTGCATTGCTTCGGGCCTGTGGCAAAGCAGCACATCATGGTAGAAGCATGTGTTGTATAGGACCTTATAGTCAGAAAGCAAAAGTGGAATAAACTGGGGTCCCAGAATCCCACCCACTAGGCCCCATGTCTAAAAGACTCCAACACCTCCAAATAGCACCTATCTGAGAACCAAGCCTTTAACACATGGGCTTTTGGGGTTATTTCAGATCCAAATTGTAGCTTTTGCTTTATATGAGCCCAGCTGTGAAATGAGGAGATAATACACACTACAAATGTAAGAATCTACATCATTATGCAGTTAGTCAATCATGAGAAGGGTGAAATTCACTGAGGTTAATTCAAGGAGAAAGGAGTGGCCTCTCTATTCTACGAAACGTTAAACAATGTGATTTGAGAACTCAGAAAAACCTGATTTTCCCTTACTCTGTTCTCTCCTGGGTATGGATATTGAAATCGTTAAACAAAAAATGTTAGATCTAGAAAAGTAATATCAGTTGCTGGCATGCACTGAGTAATTACTATCTTTTAGACATTAAATGCTAGATACACAGTACATAATTTAACTCATAGTCCATATGAAAATAGGTATCACTATTCTTGAGTTTCACATATAAGAAAATCAAGGCTTAGGAAAATTTGTCAACATGGTCATGTTAATAAGGGAGAAGGGCAGGTTTGGACTCATGTAGCCTGATTCCAGAATTTGTGGACTCTAAGTCACAGAGCTTCTGGAGAACAGAGAAGAACAATAGGTAGTATAGGGGGAGGTAGTAGAGAATAATTATTAGACTATGTGATCTTACACAGGCCTTGGAGTTTAAACGTACATTGAAATAAAACACTACTCTTTTGGTAAGTTGAGCTGCCTTATAAGCATCTCCAATAAGTACTGTCTTTCCCAACTTCTATTTGTTATCAGGCCTAAGAATATTCCTTTCCTTTCCCAGCTCCATTTCATAATTTGGGTGTGATTAGTGTAAGCTCAGATTGCTACTATCATATTACTCTGAAACTTAGCCTACCCTTCCCTCAAAGCTCCTAAAATGGGGCTTTGGCATTGGCATTGAGACGTGCTCAACCCACATGCTCCTGACTCTCACCCCAAGCCAGCTAAGTTTCTAACAACACTCATTTATATTTACATCCTTATCCTCTCAGGGAAGAGGCCTCATTTTGTTGCAGCTGTCCCAACACTTTGCCTTCATTAGGGCTGCTGGTGTACACCTGTAACCATTAGCACCCACACCCTAAATCCCAGAGGTTCAGATATGAGGCAATCCTGCGGTAAAGGCAATGTGGAAGAATAGAAAGAGCAGCGACATCAAGATGATCCAAGTTCAAACTCTAATGGGACCACTAAACAGTTAAATGACCATGACCAGGTCACTTCACCTCTTCAAGTCTCATTTTCCTACATTGGAATTTTGAAAATGTGAGGAATTTAACTGTCCCAGATCTTAGTGCCAGAATTTTTAACTACACAGAAAAAGCTTTGACTAGATTCCTAAAGTAACTCTAGATGCTCTAATGACCAGAGAGGAATGGTTCACTATGGAGGTGTACAAAATTGGGGCTAGAGGAAAGGAAGCTTCTAAAGTGAGATTCAATTGTTCTTGTGTGGTTTGGTCAGGAGTATCTCTTTAAATGCCCATGATTTGTGCTTTTAATAGGTAGTTATAAAAGTTGCATTTGCATAACAGTTGTTTTATCTAATCAAAAAGAAGTCATCAATCTAGAATAAAAAATTCAAAACAATACCTGTTTTTTCTGTTTAGAAAATTTTACACATATTCTATGTATTTCCTAAATTAAGATAGATAAATGCTCAGTGTTTCTCATAGCAACATGTATCTATCCTTATTTACCCATTCATTTAATGGTTGTTTAATCCATGCCTACCAAAATGAATAATATTAACCAGTTGCTGAGAAGCCATAGTGTGGGCGATCATTTACCACCACATTCCTATAGCTGCAAGGAAAATGACCTTATCTATGAAAGGGCCTCAGAAATTCCTTGCAGAAAAAACAACTGGTTAGAGGGAACACCTGGAGGAAGGGGCGAGCAAGAGAAAGACTTTAAAAGAAGGTGAATTGTGCATGATTCTGGGCATCATCTCTAGTGCTAAGTAGAGAGAGGTACAGTATCTAGAAAAATAAACATCAGACACCTGATTAATCTGGGACCCTCTTAACTTTTGTTCTACCACATTGGAATGATTTCTAACTCATTTTAAGTCCTTCCAAAGACTTAAAGACATAAAAAATGTAATGACCCTCACTAGATTATTAAGATTATCAAAAGGAATAATAGATGGCAAAGTGCTTTATGAACTCTTAATTTCTATACACATTTAAAATACACAAGAAATATTTCCTGTGGACATTCAAGATCTCACGATTAGGCTTATCAAGTCAGAAATTCCTAGGGAAGGACCCAGGTATAAGTAAATTGAACAGAAAATTCCGATGTATTTGATGAGCCAAGATGCCCTTGGGTACAAAATTTCTTCATATCCCCTCTGTGTAGTCTTACGGAAATTCTTATTTTGTAATTCAGAGAAAGAAAAAAAATTGTTTCCCCTAAGATCTACTTTCTCTTTTCTTATTATTAGATTTACACGACTTGGTCCATTTCTTTTCCATCTCCAATCTGTCCAGAAACACACTGAAACTCATGGGTCAACTTGTCCTTATGTTTCCATTCTCTCTTCATCCTTGTTCCTGGCTCTTTCCTTACAAAGCCTGAATTGTTTTTTGTTTGTTTGTTTGTTTTTTTGTTTTTTGTTGTTGTTGTTGCCTGTTTTTTTTCTTATATACATATTCTATTTTATTTCATTTTAAATCCTCTCATGTTTTAAACTGCAGATGCAAAAATAATTAATGAAGTTCTTCGTTATTTTTAAGTCTTCAATCCTCTCTCGGTGGTAATTGTTTTCCTCTCTCTCTGGTTTGTGTTTCTAAGGACACACCTATCTGGCTCCTGGACAATCTAAGGGCAGCCAAATCCTGCTTTTCCAGTTCTGCTTCATAAGTCCTCCAAGGCAGCTTCCAGCAAGTTCCCAGGATTCAGGCCCGAGTTTCAACCAAACATTAAAATCTGAACACTTTGATTTCACATTTTCGCTTCTAGAAAAATCAGAATAAATGTGTCCCCTTTGGAGTCACATACCTTAGCTCACAGGGAAGAATTTTATTTATTGAAATAATATTTCCTGGACATGTTTAAAGTTTTTAATGATGCAAAAAATATGGAATATATGTATGTACATAATATGGGAAATGTATATTTATATTCCATACTTCATTAGCCAGTATAATCAAAGAATGGGTTGCAGTGAGAAAACTAAAACCCAAATAAATTAGCAAGTTCAAGGTCATAGAGGCAGGAAGTGACAGAAAGAGGAGTTGAAACTCACTTCAAATAATAAGCTCTTAAAGCCTGAAAATATATGAAGTTTTTAAAGTTTTACACTTCTAATTTGGAAAGTCTTCCAAAAATATTTGAGCCCACTTTCCTGTGCCAGTAAACAAAAAAATGACCTGTTTGTCATTTAATTCTGAAAGCAACTCAATTGTATTTTCAATAAATCTTTAGTTTGCCTTTCTGTTTTCACTTGGCCACAGTAGGTTTGCATGTAGCACAATGAACCTTTAATAACAATGATGGGTAAAACAAGAATAATTGCATACTAAATATTGAAAAATTTTTGTTATATTTAACAATAAATTCAAATAACCCACACATTGCACTTTTTAGGAATTTCGCCAATTTCAAATGTCATAACAATCAAATTACCTCAGATATCTATTATATTCAGCATCTGACATATGGGCTGCTATTCCCCAACAAATGTGGTTCCAAAATCTGTTTTAAGATCTTTATTTACAAATGTGTACCTGGATAATAAATTGGACATGCTACAACTACATTCATCAATGTACAGCTTTGTGTGAGAAATGCACTCTACAAGAAAGTCTCTGCCTTTATTTCCTGCCAGTTTTGCCTTTTGATGTCACTCTTTCAGGTTGGTGAGGGAAGCACCAGGTTACAAATCAGTAACTGGATTTAGTGATCTACTAAGAAATAGCTCTCTGATACCCAGTGACCTCAGAGATTTCGAAGGCTTCCCAATTGCTTTAACATGTATGTTTCCTCTTCCTATCCTCCATTGCCTTCTTTTCCACCCTCCAATAAGATCCATGTCTACAGCTAGCAGGTACACCACCTGTTTTATACATCAAGAACCTTCCATCTGCATAGTTTTTTTTATGAAATACCAATCCTATCAAAATCTCATAATTGCAATGAGACTGAATGAGCTACTAGGCATGGTTTTCCTCATATGACAAGTGAAGAGGCTGATGCTCAGCGAGGCTAACTGGTACCATACCTAAGACAACCAGAGCTCAGAGAAGCTGAGTGAGAACTCCAACCAGGTTTATCCAACTCCCAACACAGCAATTTCCTGTGATGCTCAGAAGACACAATTCACATCATTCCTATCTGTCCTCACTTCCAAAGTCCCCACCATGGCCACCATGTACGTGGGGGAATTTTCACTGTGCTTTCTATGAAAATACTAAGCAGAAAGAGTAATTCTATTTAAATAAAACTCAAATTGTATCAACTCCTTCTTTTGTTTTCCATCTCATCTTAGCAAGAGTTGTTGTTGTTGTTTTTTTTTAAATTACCTTACAGTGCTGACAAGATCCTACTTGACTACCCATTTTCCATCCCTTCTCCTACTACCAATTCCTTTACTCCCTCCACACCAGACACATTGGGATCCTGATCATTAAAAGTCCCAAGCATGTTTTTTTTCCATAGGGCTTTGAATTAACTCTTCCCTGTACTTAAAATATTCCTTTCCAGAAAGCTGTTTATAGCTTTCCGCCTCACTTCTGTAAGTCTTTTCTCAAATATTACCTTCTTGGTGAAGGCTTTATCTTTCAACACAGTGTTAAAATTTGATTTATTTTGTTCCTTTTTCTGTCTACATTGCTTGAATATGAGGCACAGAAAACAAGAATTTTAACTCTTTTACTTGGCATTCCTGGCACAATAATGAATAATGAGAACAGTGCCTACCCGGGAGTAGCTTTCCAATAAATATTTTTTAATATTCTGCATTAAGTGAAGTAATGAAAATTATAGAATGCCTACATAATATTGTAGCACAGAACATGGGGTTGGGTTCTTTGTCTTATTAATTTGAAAAATAAAGTAATGGACACAAGGGTAAGCACAAAGTAACAGGATTTATTAGAGTAATAGAAACAAAACAGAGCTTCCAAAGAGAAAGGTTTATGCAAGAGCAGCTATTGCCGAGAGGTTTATATAGATAAATAAGTTTAAGGAAGTCAGCCCCCTGCCCAACCCTGGCTAAGGCATTCGGTGCCCACAAACTCTTCATGCAGCCTTTAGTCCAATCAAAATATCCATCAAGCATTTTTCCTCCTTGAGAGGCATGGACCCCAGTTACATAGGTCCTCATTTAAAAGTAGCCCTTTTTTAAGTTTTTCAGCAAATATCTATGGATGCTATTTGTGGTGTCCTGCCCAGGAAGATACCCAGTGTCCTGTTACCCTATCCCCCCAGCCTTGTCTATTCCTCCTGACATCAATGTCAGGGTTGCAGAGGTGCAAAATTGAATATCCCATGGTTTTGAATTCAAGCAGCTCAGAATTTTCATGCAGACAATGTGAGACACTAGGCATGATATGGTACCTCAGAGGAACAGACATAGCACGATGAGAACCAGGTCAAAAAGCCACTCACGTTAGCTTGGCAGATCTGGGAAGACTTTTTAGAGATAATATTAGAGCCATGACGTGATAGATAACAAAGGATTTGGAGACAAGGAGAAGGAGGAAGAAGGGCAATTCATGTAAAAGCTCAGACTATGGCAATGCTGGGCATTCAACAATGTCCCCACAATCCTGGAAACCTACCTACCATGTGGAAGAGTGGATATCACTGGAACACTTCTTGCACTTCTTCCTTCATAAAGGTTATCTCATTTAATCCAACACCAAGGGAGAGGGTTATATATTGTAATTCACTTTCGAAACAAGAGTTAAGAACATGGAAGTTTAAGGAATCTGCCTGAAGTCGCCCAGCTTCACTAATGGTGGACACTGAACTTGAACACAAGGTTGTGTGACTCTAAAGCACTTGGTTTTAAGTTCACTACTTTTCAATCCTGGAGCATAATTTCCTTTTTGACATTTTTGGATTTGTTTTACAGAGGAGAGGAACTGCTTTCTAACATGTGCTAATAAAGTTTTCAAAATTTCTCTTCAAAAATTATTAAAGTCCTATATGCTTATCGAATGGGAGGGAAAATGAAGATCATGGACAATACATGGATAGATTTTAAAGTTAGCATTCTCCCAGTCTAACACACTACCTTCAAACCTCCTCACTATTTTTTCAAACATACACCCACATGTACAGAGGAATTGAGTGTGTCATTTACTCTGCAGCTTGCCTTTCATATTTAATAATATCTCCTGGTGTTCATTTTAGGTAAAAAGCTACCTCATAGTCTATAATCTAAGATCTCATCATTTCCCTATTAATGAAAATTCATAATTATTTTTATTTTTCGGCTCTTCAAAGGATACTGCAACAAGCATCCTTACCACATGTAAACTCACACACTGACACTCTTATTACTTTATAAAAGTTTCAAAATTTAATTGCTAGATTAAAGGGCATATTTTAAAATGTTCATAAATATTGTGAAAAATTCTTGGAAATGTGGATTAGAGCTATATGTCATAGTATATTAGTAATATTATAACTTTATTAAAAACAAAAGGTAGGTATAATAAACTGAATATATTTAAAGTATACATTTTAAGAATTTTGACATGTGTATATACTCACAAAACCATTCACAATCAAGGTAATGGACATATTAATTCCCTCAAAAGTTCTCTTGCCGCCGGGAGTGGTAGCACATGCGGTAATCCGCACAGCTCAGGATGCTGAGACAGGAGGATCAGGAGTTCAAAACCAGCCTTAGCAACACTGAGGCACTAAGCAACTTAGTGAGATCCTTTTTCTAAATAAAATAAAAGGAAGGGCTGGGGGACATGGCTCAGTGTTTGAGCCACATAAATTCAACCCCCAGTACCACCCAACACAAAAAATAATTTCTCTTGCCACTTGAGGTCCATCCCTACCTCTCACCAACCCCTGCTCTATCCACAGTTAACAACTAACTGATTTGCTTTCTGACATCATAGCCTGCATTTTCTAGAATTACAAGACTGATTTTAAAGTACTTACTGTGTTGTCTCTTACCCCGAATTCAACTCTGTCTCACACTTGACAATATCACGTGTCTCCTTGGCTTATGTGGGTCCCGAGGACCTTAAGAAAGCTAAATATATCACAGATCCACCTCAAGCTCTAGGCAAAGTGGGAGAGAGGTCAGGGATACCTCTGGCTTTTCATAATGTCCATGCAATCTGCTTACCAATATGGGTTAGGAATGTAGCTCTAGAAATCTAAATTAAGGATAATGCAGTCTTCTATCCTTTCCTTAAATAAAGGAAGCTCCCAAAGTATCTAGAAGATGGTTCATTCAAATAGTGTATGTTAGGTTATATTAGTCATTAATCTGCAAAATACTTAATATTAACATATCCCTTATATTTTGCTAGGTACTGTATTCTGCCTTTTTGGAGTTCACAAACAAATTTGTTTAAGTGTGAGCTAAAGGCCCACAAACATTATCACTTTAAGGTGAATAATGATGAAAATGAGCATCAGCTATCACTAAGAGCAGTCAGTTTAGGGGTTGGTGCAAAGAACAATTTATACACCATTAAGCAGAGGTAATGAATTATGAAGGCAGTCCAATTAAAGAAACAATGGCAATTTTGAAACTGTCTGCACAGACAATAGTTTCCTTTGGAAGCTTTGAAATGTGATCTCAAGGTTGACATGTAGTTCAGGCCTGTGCATTTTAATGGATAGCAATTAGTAGCTATGGAGGAGATGCAGATCAGAAGATGAAGAGGAGGTGGATGTAAAACCCTTAAGTGTATCTGGAAAGTCATCTGCCTCTGGAAGTGGTAGCAGGATTCCCCAGAAAAAAAGGAAAACTTGCTGCTGATAAAGATGGTGACGAGGGGCTGGGGCTGGGTCTCAGTGATAAAGCAATTGCCTTGCATGTGTGAGGCACTGGGTTTGATCCTCAGCATCACATAAAAATAAGTGAATAAAGATATTGTGTGTTCAAAAGTAAAAAAAAAATGGTAATGAGGAAGATGATGATTTTGATAATAAGGAACCTGAGAACATGCTCCAGTGAAGAATTCTATACAAGATACTCCAGCCAAAACTGCATAAAAATCAAAACAGAATGGAAAAGACTCAAAACCACCAACACCAAGGTTCTTCCCAAAGTGGAAGCCGAGTTCATCAATTATGAGAAGAATTGCTTTCAGATAACTGACCAGGAACTCTGATTCCAGATGACTAATTCAAGATCTGTGACACTGGAGAAAAATCTCTTTAAGAAAATAGTTTAAATGGTTTGTTAAAAATTGCAGTCTTATCTAGAGTTCATCCAATCCTCCCATTTCCCCCTCATCCATCCCCCATTATGAATCAGCATCCTTAAATTAGAGAAAATATTTGGCATTTGGTCAAATGGAATGGCCATCATGACCATACATGACATGTATGAAGATATGAATGGTGTGATTCTACTTTGTGTACAGAGATATGAAAAAATGTGCTCTGTATGTGTAATATGAATTGTAATGATTTCTGCTGTCATACATAACAAATTAAAATTAAAAAAAAGTTGCACTCGTTTTTTTTTGCAATTGATATCTGGCCAACCTTTTTATAATGCAAAGTGAGAATTTTCCCTACTATGTTTAATAGATGTTGTCCAGGTTCCATTGCCAAGAATGTGTTGTCCAAAATGCCTGTGTAGTTTTTAAAGTTAAAACTCCACCCTTTGCTTGGTTTTAAGTAGGTATGGAATGTTATGATCAGCCATAGTGGTGGTCAGACATGGAAAAAGTAGATAGGGAGACAAAAATATACATGGGAACTAAGCTTATTGTTCTAGTAAAGTGAAAAAGTGGGAGACAAAAATAATAATCAAATAATTATACATAAACATGTAATTATGTTTTGAGAGATGTTCAGAATGAAAAAAAGAAGGCTCTCTTAGAACCTATTACAAATGTATCTCACTTGGATAGGAGATACTTGAGATTTGGGGGGAAAATGACAAGAAGAATAAATAGGGAAAATTTCAGAAGAAGAAAATGAAGAAGATGAGGCATTTATAGTTGAGTGGCATTTACAAAAGTCTTATGCCAGATATCCTGTGCTCTAACAATGAAAGGGGGACAAGATAGCTGGGAGGTAAGCAAGGACAAATGAGAGTCAGGGAGGAAAATGAATCTTACAGGACATCAGAGGTCATATTTAGGATTTTAATTCTTAAACCCAGGAATAGTGGAAAGTCACCAACGTGTGCTAAGCAGTAGAATGAACATGATCATTGTTGCATTTTGAACAGAGGATTTGCCTGCTGTGCCAATCAGACTAAGGAGACCAGGGTAAAGCAGAGAGCTGACTTGGAAGTTCCTGCAAGAGATGAGAGAGACCTGGATGAAGGGGTGTCAGGGCAATGGTGTGATGCAGGAGGAGTCAAGAGACTCAGAAGGCCAGCTTGGTGAGATATGGTGGTGAGTTAGGTATGACATGTCAGAGAGAGGGAATTATTAACAATGACTCCTAGAAGGCTGACTCATGCAAGAAGATGCCTGGTAGTTACATTCAGGGAGATGGGGATCAAAACTGCTCACAGCTTTCCTGGGCTCCTAGGATAAAATCAGGATCTATGACCGTGACATCCAGTACATGGTTTCACCTCCCTACCTGTCCTACCTCAGCTCATGTCCCTCTGCTCCTGCTCACAGGACTTCAGCCAACGATGAGGCTTTAATTCTTTGAAGAATCCAAGTTCTTCTCATTGTGAGTATATTCACCCATTCAGTACCTTCAATCCAGAATTTTATTTGGCTGAGATGATACATAGTAAAATCTGTGGGAATATGGATTATGTCCATCGTTTATCACTATGAGCTCAATGATTAGCAGAAATGCTGCAATCAAAATTCAGTCTTTTACTTTTTAAATTTATTTTATACATAAATAGGCATTAAATTATATAACTGTCATCATTACTATTATCTAGTTGGGAAACAACTTCTTGATAAAAATATAAAACTAGCCACTGGTATAGCAAAAAAAAATGTGAAAATAAATATGCAAGTGTGTCTAAATCTCAGTTATGACTATGTCTGTTGATTAAAGAGTTTCTGATTTTTCCTTCTCAATCAACATTGAAAAACTACTGAAGAATTTGAAGGATGATTCTTATGTCTAAGGAAAACACTTCTGGTGCTATGAAGATCCTAGTTTGGAAGGGACTCTTTGGGAACACAGAGATCATTGGAAGATTAATACAGTGGTCCAGTGAGCTGTGACAAGGCTTTAAGAGGAGCAATCATAGTAGTGATAATGAAAGATGTATAAAATAGATGTGAAAATGGTTCATAATTAGCAGTTTATTTACCAATTAGAAGGGAAGGTTCTTAGGAGAAAGTACTTAGGGTAATTCCCAGGTTTATCAGGAAACCTTGAGAATGATTGTGCTATATAAATTGAGAAAGGAAACTAAACATTGAAGCATATTTTGAAAGAAAGACAATGAGCTTACGTAAAGATATCTTGAATTAAAGATTAAAAAGGGCATCCCTTAGGGTTGTCTCATAGGTAAGTAAATCTCTCCTCCTCCTCCAAACGGAGATGTAGACTAGCTATAGATTCTGGAGTTTTTAACATGGAGATTATATTGGCACCCATGGAAGATCTCCCAACAAAGGTTAAATATAAAATAAAAAGAAAAAATAGTAAAGTTTAGAATCTTTGGAGGCAAAAACATTCAGGGGAAGTCAGGATAAGGGACATTTAAAGAAATTGAAAAGTCATAGTAAAACAGAAGAAAAGTTGATGTGGGAGAAAGGATGACACATAATTCACCAGAACAGAAAACCCTAAGTAGAATGGAGTCATCTTAGGTGACAATTACTTTGAAGGGGTCAATTAATGTGGCAAAGCACATAATGCATATTTTATATGTTTAATTCCTTTAGGAGAATCATACATCCACTTCCTAAATCAGGCATATATGGCCATATGACTTGCTTTGGTCCATGAAAGCAGCACCAGGAGTGATGTACATCACTTCCAAGAAGAAGCTCTAAGAGTTTAAGCCTCCATTTCTCCAAGTTCTGTTTCCCTGTGACCAGGATAATCAGAAACTCTAGAGATAAAATTATTCTATGAGTTTTAGTTACAGAATTCAGACACCATGGAGCAAAGTTATAGCTAACCAATGATGACCATACAGTATGAGGAAAAACTAAAGTATGAAGATATGCCATTGAGATTTGGGCTTAGGAATCATTACTTCTGGGCAACCTAATAAATATATGATTATAGATGCAGAAAGAATGAGAAAATAAACAAAAGTACAACAGATCCTTGCTAGGTTTTGATGATTTACACCTTTGTAGTAATATAAAGGTAATAATATTTAGTAGAAACAATACTTTGATTTTTGATTTTTAATCATTTCCTGGGCTAGTGATAACGTGGAACAAAACTCTTTAGAGGCACGGAGCTGTGGGAGAAAACCACTGTCCCCAGTCACACAATCACAAGTTAAATAACCATAACCAACATTCAGTGTACTAGGTTGCTAAGCTATGGTGTTGGGTAGGTTGTGTACATTAAGTGAATTTTTAACATAGGGCATTTTCAATTTATGATGGGTTTATCAAGATGCATTCTATCATAAGTTGATGAATATCTGTTATCTTAACTTAAATAAATAGGGGTCAAGAAATGTCAGGAAATCAAGATAACATTCACAGAGAAGATAGTATCTAATGTTGTATTGGCCAGGATCCAACCACAAAACAGAATTATTGTAAGTACTTAGAACAAAAGGAATGTATTGCAAAGAGTTGATTGAATAAATGTTAGAAGATCTAAAGAATCAACTAGGTGAATGTGAAGTAGCCAGAAATGGACAACTACAAGAAGCCACTACCAACCCTGGTTGGAGAAAGTGAGAAAGAAAAGATGCAGTGTAACCAGAGCTCAAAGGTGGAGCTACCTGGCAAAAGTTAGACCCACTGCAGAGCTATCCAGCAGAACCTGGAGTCAGAAAGGGTGTAGCCACTTCTAGACACTTCCCCAGAAGAGAGGCAGAGGGGGTCACACAGTGGTTTCTCGTTCCCCACTAGACTTCCCAGTCTCCACAGAAATGCCCAGTACACTGAATGTTGGTTATTTAACTTGTGATTGTGTGACTGGGGACAGTGGTTTTCTCCCACAGCTCCGTGCCTCTAAAGAGTTTCATTCCACGTTATCACTAGCCCAGGAAATGATTAAAAATCAAAAATCAAAGTATTGTTTCTACTAAATATGTATTACCTTTATACTACTACAAAGATGTAAATCATCAATCAGCTTACCTGTGAGCATAAGAAACACAACTTACAGTGATGGACAACATAACCCCTTACTTCCCCAACACAAGGACATGGGATGGATCTGAGGGCAAACGGTCCCAAGATTGGCACAGACCAAGGTCTGAAGGCAGAAAGTGGCAAATACTTTAGGTAGAAAGAAACTTTAGTTTTCATTAAGGTTGAAGGGTTTTAGTAAAAAATGAACTTAGCTCTGAATTCAGGGTGGCTAGAGCTGGGAACACAATAGAGAAAGGATTATTGATGGCACATGTGAGCAAGAGCTAGATCATGGAGGGCTGTGTAAAAATAGACTGCCTACAGTCTGTGGTATAAGGGGGAAATTACCAGCTAGGTACCCAAAATAAAAGTAGGACAAACTGAAAATCTATTCATTGCTTTATTCATTCTTTTCAACAGTCACTACACATTAGGACATTTAGCTTTTAACAGGGTAGAATGTGTTTCATCTAGGGAGGATGGGCACGCCAAACTCCTTCCACTTCTATCTTCTCTCTCTTTATCCTGATATCACACCAAGTGAGATAGGGCCTCCTGAAAGGCAGAAGAACAACAATAAAAATAAGAGCAGCTTACATGTAATTAGCCCATTTATAAAAATTGCCACATTCACTCTCCTGATTGGCCACCATTTTTCTGATGTGGAAACAAAGGCTCAGTGTGGTTACATCCCATTCCAAATCCCAGAGGGGGTGAACAATGACTCCACAACTGGAAAACAGTTCTCTGCCACTCAAAAACCCTATCTATACTTGTAGAAATTACACCTTCCTTGAGATTCCAGGAAATACAAATTTCACAAATATAATCAGTAAGGGAGAAGTGCACATCTACAGTTGAGAACAGGGTGGGGTGGGCATTGAGAGAGCCCAAGCCCTCCCCATGACAAGTGCAGCTGCCCCCCTAGTTGCAGTTACCAGCAGTTTCTTCACAGCTTCAGAAGCTTCCGGTCCCAGTTCATTCACACACTTCCTCAGCCCTTCTACAAGGTGCTCCACAGAAATGCCCAGAGTTTTCAGAAGCATCTTTAATGGATCCATGAAGGAAAGAACATTGTCCAGAGGCAAAGGTAACACTTTGTCAACAGGAAGGGGCACATTGTTGATGAGAAAGGCAGCAGCTGCAGAGCAAAAGAAACAGGTGAAGCAGGCACATCAGCCCCCAGCTATGACCTCACTGCTTCCATCCGCCCATCAATAGCTCGTCTCAGAGACACTCATCTTGATTTCCCAGGGAAAAGTCTCTCTGGATCTCTATGCTTGCTGTTCCATTTCCTCAGAATATTCTTTCCCCTGATAAATGCAAGTCTTTCTTCTTCATGCTATTTGGGTTCTTTTCAAATGTTACCTCCTCAGAGAAGCCTGGAATGGCCACTTTATCTAAAACAGCACCACCTACCATCCTCCTTTGCTTTTTCTAATTGTTACTTGAACTATTAAATCTTTATTTGTCATTTGTATAGGCTTTATAGAATCTTTATAGAATCTTTATTAGAATGTAGGCTCCATGAGAACAAGAACTAATGTTTTGTTTATTACTATATCCCACGCCTAGACCTGACCTTGGAATGCAGCAAGCGCTCAGTAGATACTGGTCCGTAAATGGACAGCAAGGTATTTCTGTACGTGGCTGTGTCCATAGTTCACAGGTTTCAGGCCAAAGAGGAGATGGCATAATGAATCTCCACTCAAGGAAAAGAGGAGCAAATCACAGCCCCAAAAGTTCTTCCACCCAATTCAACTCAATGCTACAACATAACAGCTGGGGCAGACACATCAACAAATAGGACAGAGATGATCCACTCAGAAAGCTAACACAGTCTAATGGAGCATCAGGATTTATGCATGCCACAAGGTGGCATGTGGTATGCTAACACTATGGACAATGCTCTGGAAACATAAAGCAAGGGAATAATTCTAATGTGGAAGAATGTTGCAGAAAACTTATCAGAAGAAGTGTTAGAGCCATGTCTTGAGGACAACAAGGTAAAGAAAAGGAGAGGTATTTTAGGAACAAGGTCAACAAATGCACTGAGATGGTAAGATGAAAGTCCACACACAGAATGGTGAGCCTTCTGCCCAGAGAGGCTGGGGTGCAGAACTCCAGTGGGCTGCGGTGGAAGATAAAGGAGCGGGACTGCAAAACTTGAGTGAAGTCAGATTTTTTTAAATAACAACAAAGGACTATCAAGACTTTCACCTGGGATGACTGCACTCTACATCTTTGACTTTAGGAAGACAACTTTTGCAAAGAAGATGAATGAGAGGAAAAGAATAGAGACCGTAAAAATAAGCACCATGTATATTTTTTTACAAAAACATGCACATTTATAAATGTACTCATGTGCATGAGCATACAAATAAGAATATGCATCTTCCTGCTGGCTAAATTTATTTCTTCATTAAAATTATAAAAAGGTAGGCTGTGCATATACTCTGCCTTCATCTTCTATCATATATTTTCCTTCCCAAATTCTCCCCATTGAGAGCTATTTATTTCCCCCATTCCCCTTTCTGATGCTACAGTTGCCCATAATATTTGCCCTTGGACATGAAAGAACAACAAAATATTTGAAACTGGTAAAGTAATAAATTCCTCTAAAAATTCAATAAAATTGCCAGCATAAGTGGACACCGCCCCTGGTATCTCATGATTAATCATCACACTTCTTATTTTAGACATTTTGGTGAATTATTTTTCTGTATGTGTTTACATCTTCCCAGGGGAACATCTTCAAAGCTTTCTATTCTCTCAATAAAAATTGACCATCATGAAGCCTTTTCTGATACACCTACATATATCTTCCTGAGAGTAAAAATGATTCCTTCCAGAATGAATGGATCAGTTCCTATTGTCCTCCAGGAAGTCAGATTTTGTACCCATACTTGGAAACTAAAATATTCACTTCTCAGTACACCCACCTCCATCCATCTCTCTCATTTAGCATTCATAGTAGTGCAGTATTTTTGTAACTTCTGTAAAAGGTCTGTATACCCTGCCAGACTATCAGAACCTTTAGAATAATCTTCATGTCTAGTTCATGCTTGAGTCTTACAGTGCTTATTCAGTGCCAAAATTTTGTTGTCCCTCAATAAATATGTGTTGAATGGGTGAGCAGATAAATGAAGCTGTTCAGGAGAGCCATCCTTGCAAATAGCTAATTAAGATGACAGCAAGAATGATTTCACATAGTTTTAAAAGCAGATAGGGAAAAAAAGTTGATTCAATATTAAGATATTGACTCAATATTAAGGAAAACTAATAGTGACTAGTGTTCCATGGTGAAAAGTGCTATGTTGGTGCTCAGTGGGAGTTGGCTAATTTCCTATGCAGGATGCACTAGGGGTAATGCCTATATTGGGTTAGAGCTTGAATGATGGAGGAACTGTGAAATCTTCCAACATGACCATTTTCTGTGATTCTAAAACTCCTTCCACCACATTCCACTGTCAGTGATCCAGGCTTACTAGTTGTGTTCTAATTAACAGATTAGTACAGACATATCCTATGTTCCAGACTACTTACCAGGGTAACTACAAAGGCTGATGGTCACCAGCAGAAAGATGGTTACCAGCTTCATGGCAGCTATCTATGATGATCTCCTGGAGTTCAGAATTCCACTAATCAAGAGTGATTTTCCTTTCCATACACAGTGGGATGCCTGCTTTTGCACACACATGTATTTATGCATCCACTGAAGACCTGAATTTCAGTCACTGCCATTTGACCCACTCCACCAAAGAAGAGCAGGAAGGTCATGTTTCCTCACTAAACAAATTGCATGGTTTCCCCTCTCCCTCCTGTTCCCACGAGAAACAAAGCCCTAAATGAAAGTACTCAAGTACCTCTTTCGAGAGCCCTTGTGCAGAGGTCATAATGGAAAGCAAAGAACCCTGAGGCTCCTTCTACAGGAAGAACGTGAAAGAAGTGTTTTCTTCCAGATCTCTACATAGTCCTCCATTTTTTCTAGGCATTTAAAGTTTAGAGAATCCCATTACCTGCTTCCTTGCTGTGGAAGCAATCAGGAGGCCACCTTGGCCCCATTACAAAGTCAGCTTAATGACATTTTTGTTGTTTCTCTGGAATTCATCAGTTCATCCACATCACACATCTACTATACCAACATCACCAGATCCCTGATCTTTCTAGTATCCTCTGATTAGCTGGGGAATCTTCAGGGTGTTTCTTCTCAATGTGCTCACACAGAACAATAGGCTTGGGATCTAAAAATCAAACTGCCTTTTTGCAAACCTAGGATTCTGTTTTTGTCATTTGTATCACACTGGATTAGACATTTAAAATCTGAGATGTACGAACCTGGAAAAAAATGGGTTTGGGCTAGACCCTGCCTAAACAAATTATATGAGTCACCCAAGATATGCATTTTGGGAGCATTCAGGCAGTCTAATCCTATGCAATCATACATGTGTGTGTGTGTGTGTGTGTGTGTGTGTGTGTGTGTGTGTACACAGACATATTTACACCAGTGGCTGTGGGAGTAGTCTGTTTCCTAATTACACACAGAGAATTGCTTCTCCCTTCTGACCTCTGGAACTAGGTACTGCATGGGATCCCAGGATGACTTCATCTGTAAGTAAGCACATGTACTTCTTTGGGAATCTTGTTGAGCTTAAACACAAGGAAGAGGGGAAGACGATATGTTAAAGGAAAAAAACAGAAAACAGAGCTCAGGTGGTCCCAAGCACCAGTTCAGAACCCCTTGGCTAAGTGGCCCTGTTGGCTCCAGCCATCCCCCAAAATAGAGAGGAACCCAGAAAATTTTGAGGAGGCACACTATAGTGTTAGTCTCTTAATGTATAAGCTTAGAAGTTGGAATCTAACTTACCCCCATCTGAGGGCATATATTATTATTAGGATTTAATAAAATTATACAGATGAGCATGTAGCTGCACCAAACCAAGGTTAATGTTTAATGTCACCTGTTATTAATTCCTATGAGTTATAAATTGAAACTGCCATTTATTTAACTTTATGCTGCTTTATACATTGCATGAAAGAGACCATGGATTACTGTGATGCATACTCAATCCTGAAATACCCACTGATTTTCTCTGCCAGATACTGCTCTCTCTGGCCTATCCCAGCTATGTCAGTGAGGTAGATGTGCCAGCTCTCCAAAGGCCCAGGTCATGTGGTGAAATGGTAGAAAACTTGATGCCATCCCTGACTCTGGTACACTAAACCAGCACTGCCCTTGTCAGGGCTGCCATCTGCTCATTCGCTTTCCCCCTGGACTTCCCTACCCTCCTCTGTATCACAGAAAGTGGAGTTTTCCTACTGGGCCCGATGGTGAATGACTAATGCCAGCACCTTTGAGTCTGAGGTAGAAGGATCACTTGAGCTCACAAATTTGAGACCAGCTTAGGCAAACTTAGCATGACCTTATCAAAAGAGGAAATAAATAGAACAAAGGAAGGAAGAAAGGATAGGAGGGAGGGAGGAAAGGAAAGGAAAAGAAAGCAGCATTTTCCAAATTGTAATTCCCAGCTTCCTTGCTGGAATGAACTACAGCTGGTGGAAGGCACTGGTCGACTGGTAGAAGATTGGAGGCAAAGAGAAAGGGAAAAGCCAGGTGTATATCTTTCTCTCTCTCTCTCTCTCTCTCCTCTCTTCTCTCTCTCTCTCTCTCTCTCTCTCTCTCTCTCTCTCTCTCTCTCACTCAGGAAACATCCTGGGGAATTACTGCACTTTCTCCAAGCCTCCAGCACCTTCCTCTGTGTTTCCTCTATGCCAGCAGACAGCAGACTACAATTATTCAGTTTCTACTGCAGAACCCCAGCTCCTGGGTGCCCTCCTCCTGCAAGAGGAGCAGGAGTTAAATGCTATACTGGTCTGGAAGCAGTAGAATCTTCCCACATTTCTTGGGGCCAACTTCTCTCCCCTTTGGTCACTTTAACTGTACTCTTAACACCCTGTAAATTCTCTTCCATATTATCTTCTTTCTCTTTGGTTACTTGGAATGGTTTTGACTTTCTGGCTGGACTTCGAACTGATTCAGCATCACAAAATATAATACCACTTTCAATTAAAGTAGATCTTTCAGTTTTTGAACATAGATTTCTGTCTCATGAGTGCTAAATTGTGAATCCATGAGGAGAAGGACCAAGAGAAATACAGCATTACACACAGAGAATTGCTTCTCCCTTCTGACCTCTGAGCAGTTTACACGGTCTCAAGTTTCTCTGTTGCTCCTGGAGGGCGAGTTCTTTCCCAGGAGGCTCCATAGACCTCTATGCAAACAGACTGCTGGTGGTTACTTCACTCAAAATGCACACACACTCAAAACACCCACAGGTATCCACACACTTACACATGTGTGAACAAAGGTGAGTATGGACACCCTCAGATCACACAAACATCCATCCAGCACTGTTGTTGGTACTCAGTTATTCAACAAATGTGTACTGACTGAATGTCTGTGTGTGCCGAACACTATGCCAGGAGTTAGAACTAGAGCACCATATCGGACATGCAAATTCGCTGCCTTCTTGGAGCTGGTAATTTAATGACATAAACAGACAATAAGCAAGTAAACAAGCACACTGAATAACCCGTGGTAGGTGTTACGGGGCAGTGGTAGGACCTGTGGGTTGAGCACCTTTGGACCTGAGAAGACTTGGACTTGGCCACTTCTGCGTCTCCTATGTTCCAGACCATTACCTGAATCATGTCTTTTTGCTCCATATTTTTTATACTTAGACCTCTTGGATCCTTGCTGGCCCTGAGGAGAATGCCCCTCCCAGGGTAATTTCTAGCCAGAAAGTACCAAAGTTTTCAGAGGTTAGAAGGGAGAAACTTTCTCTGTGTGTGATGCTGTATTTCTTTTGGATGGGTCTTGGCCTTGCTCCTCAAAGATACTTCATTTGACACTTAGAGGTCCATATTTAAAAACTGAAAGATCTACTTAATTGAAAGCTTTATAATATTTTATGGTGCCGAATCAGTTCAGAGTCCAGCTAGAAAGTCAAAATCACACCAAGTGATTAAATAAAAATTCATAAAGGTGGCAACAACCCACCCATGAGTGTGCCTTTCATGTACAAACCAACCAGCCCAGAGCCCAGCCCCAGAACCGTTACTATGCTCTATAGTACTCTGGGCCTCTATTCCTCTCTGCTTTACTCACCCCAAGAAGAGGAATTAACAGAGGTGCCCCTAGAACTCAAAGCCCACTGAAATTTTTCAAAATCATCAGTCTTTAACCTTCTTACCCTATCTCCTCTGTTCCTTCTCTTGGAAACCACCATCAGGACTCCTGCCCACATCTTCTCCAATCTCTCTGCCTCCTGGCTGAACCCTCCCTGTGGTGTGGTGTGCTCACTGTGTGAGGATTGGTGCCTGTGTTGAACATCTTTACAATGGCTGCCATCTCCTGATCTGTTGGCAAGAATCATTATACAATGTATATTTTAAAAACAGCCATCTAATCTTTTGGTGTGTGTCTTGGTTGCAATATTGCTAAGCCTTTCTTTGCAGCATAATTATCCACGTCAGCATCTTCTTTCCAAGCATTGATTTGCAAACATCTTGAGGGGCTTGTCTGGATCCTAACACAGCTCCACACCATTGACCATATTGTTAGGAATCATTCCTCAGAGCCAGGTGCTACACATTGTGTATGTTATTACTTTAGTCTTACAAAACCTCTGATGATAAGAATTTTCATCCCATTTTAATAATGAGAAACCTGATCCTGGAAGCCCTGAGTTCATTGTAAAAGTCACATAGGTAATAAATATTGCAGCCAGAATTTGACTTCTTTCTTTTCTGATTCGAACTTACTACCTCTAATTAATTGAGATGCATTTCCAACAAGCACTTGTTAAATAATTAATTCATTGAAGACAAATGGGAACCAAAGGAAACGAATGTCAGAGTTTTCCAATTAATTTGGATGTGCTTTCCACATGCAACCTTTGTAGAAATTAAATCTATAATCAGAATGGAAATTCACCTATCTGGTCAACAAGTACTTACTGGGAATCTCTGGTTTTCCCAGCTCAGTTGATTCTGGGATTATAGCAGTAACATAAATGGGCCTTACTATTGCCTCCTTTAAATATATCAAAGAAAAGTGTTAGAACCAAGTCAATGTGTCATTTTTTATCTCTCTCTGAAGAAAATAACATTTATAAAAATGCCAACTGAATACATATATAAGACACTGGACAGGAAAGAGAAAAGAATGGGCCTGAGAGTTCATCTGACACTTTTTTTCTGGCTGAAAAGGAGACAGTCTTTGGTCAGTCACACTGGAATTGTCAAAGAAGCCTTTATTCTCTTTTCCCTTCTATTTGCTGCTATTGTAATGGTCTAAAATGGCCCCAATATAAGCCTATCTAAGAGGGAGGAGAGAATCATAAAATTTATCTTTAGAAACAAGCTTTGGCCTTGGCCCAGTCTTTCTTGGATGTGTGAGCTCTACGCCCCTCAACAACAAACTGCATATTCATCATACAGGTGCCACTCAAAGAACATCAAAAGTTCATGTGCACTTTGCCAAGTTATAGGACCTCGATTACTGCCTTGGCCATAAATCACTTCCCCTTTCTAAATGTTTACACTCACTATGATTTTTTTTTTTATTGTTGTTTTTTTTGACACCAGGAACAGGGTCACGGTTGGCTCTGAGTTTCTGGCAATCCTGACA